CGTGCATTGTCACGCGGACATTTGCCCTGCCAGGTACAACCCCACTCTGAAGGGCGATACCGGGGTTGCCTGAAACACTGAAGGGGGGGTCAACGCACCTCCTGTTCCAGGCGCACCAGTGCCCTGGAAGCAGTGCTACTTTCAGCAATCCCGGTAAAAAGAACTGCGGCCGCTTCGGACTTGCTTTGTTCTTTTGGGGGTTCATGTTTGGGTTCAAGCTAGGAGCAGTGCAACATGCCTTAACGCTTAGGGTTTCTTTTCCCTTGTGTTTAGGGCATGTTGTGAATCGAACTACGCGGTGGCCGTTTTGCTCCTAGCCTTGACCCAAACCTGCGGTTTCATTTGAAACCCACCCACCCACCCTGCACTGCCTTATGCAAGGCTCTGCAAGTATAGGTCGCAGACGCTCTGCACTTTCGTTGGTGGTCTCCGGACCTCTTGGTCTCCGGACCAGGTCTCCGGACCAATTCTGGTCTCCGGACCATTCAGTCTCCGGACCTTGGGCGCGGGCACGCATGCCACGCCCTGCAAGCACTGCATTCACTTGCAAGGACACGCATTGTCTTGCCCGTTTTAGTTTCACGGGGGGTCAACGCACCTCCTGTTCCAGGCGCACCAGTGCCCTGGAAGCAGTGCTACTTTCAGCAATCCCGGTAAAAAGAACTGCGGCCGCTTCGGACTTGCTTTGTTCTTTTGGGGGTTCATGTTTGGGTTCAAGCTAGGAGCAGTGCAACATGCCTTAACCATCAAGGCTGTCTACAAGGATAAGACTCAGTCTCGCGACCCCAGCATCTGCAGAGAGGAAGTAAAGGCGTTTCTGGATGGCCTCCGGGCCGCAAAGAGGCTGCAACAGCGTGCCTCTGGAGCCCATGAACCAGCTGCAAGTGGACCTGGCGACATGAAGGCCTTCCTTGGACCTTCTGTCGGGTCTCACGCGCCGCATCGCAATTCTGAATGCCACCTGGTGTCTGACCCTACTCGAAAAGCATCAGGGGGCAAGACCGCAAGCACCTCAGTAAGCGGTCCAAATTGCTGCCTTCAACCGCCGTTTTGTGAAGCGGATCAGAATTCCAAGGCCGAGAGTTACGCCGCATGGATTTAAGCACAGTGAGCAAACGCACAAGAGCGTCAGGCCATACACGTCTCGGTGGTCCGGGTGGACGTCGAAGGAATATGCCTGCACTTTCGCGCTTGCAAACAAGAAGTGTTTGCGAAAAGAGAAAGGCTTACTTGGTGTTTCTCTCTGCAAGAGGTAAACCCCTTCCCGATACGCTCTTGCGCGCTATTCAATACAAACTTAGGGCCAGGAAGTGGGTTCGGTGATGTTTGTAGTCTGTGGCGCAGTTTGGAGCTTCTACTTATTGAAATTTTCAAGCAGTGCTGCTCCTCGAGAAGGTGTGTGAATAGGTTTGAAGTTTGCGTTTGTTCAAGCTTTAATGCTTTGAGGTTTTAAGGTTCTTGATCGAGTTGCTCTGTTCCCGGGTTAATGTGCTTGTTGCTGCATATATCAAATTCGAAGACAGGCTTGCAATGTTGGAGGGATGCGAAGAGCCATGTTTTCGGACACCCCTCACAAGCGGATTTCTGGCGGGTTGCAATGTGGCGCTTTTGCGACTGCCGCAGTTGGTGTTTCTCCCCGCTGCAAGAGGCAAACCCCTTCCCATAGACTTTTAGCGCCAGCTGCTCATTGCCGTTTTGTCGCGGAGTCGTCCTCCGCGTTGCGTTAAAGTTGTTTATTTCACGAGGCCAAGCTCCAGACACCGCGCGCTCCAATGTGATTTGTGTTTTCCGCCGCTGTTTGCAAGACTTTGCAACTCCGCCGATACCGTGGAGCCAGTGTTCCTCCAACTACTACGGGAACCAGGCAGTCGTGCCGCGGCAGATCGCAGTCTGGCAGACCTTGGCCTGCAGTTGGCATCCTGTTGCCTCGTATTACCATCAACCGTCTCCCTACTACCTCAACCAGTTTCACATCTTGGCGATCTATGCGGTCCAACTGCTTACTTGGCTCCACGAGAAGCAGGTGCTGGCTGGTGCTTCCACGCGACCAAACTGGGTTGGCTGGCTGCGATGTATAGTCTTTGTTCAGTTGCCCCTTTTTTGAACTTCGTTAGTTTGCCGGAGTTAAATTGAAGTTATTTTGGTCCCGATGTACTATTGCTATGCGCTCCCGTCGCTCAGTGCACCGAGCTTTGAGTGGGTTGCCAAGCTCTGTTTCAGTCCTTCTTGTCTGTGATTGCGATCACTGCCTCGCCGCAAGTGTTAGGCCGCTCCCTTGCGTTGCCGATTTGGTCTATTTTGAGGTGCCTGTTGCTGACCTCTGTGATGCCTTGGCATTGCACCTACTCGAAGCCTACCCGGTGGTGCACCTTCCTGCTGATTGCTGTTATGACCCTGCCCCCTGATTGCCCGATTGGTGCTTCTATGCCTGAGTTTAGTTGTCATTCCTCGCTGATCCGCGTGAGAAGAATCAGTCGGGTGTCCCCCGTTTTGGCTCAAACGGCTTATCAGGCTGTCCAGCCTCAGGCAGACGGAGAAACGAAGCGGCCAGGTATATAAGTAGAATACTTTGGCAATGCTGGCCACATTCTTCAGGGCTTCCCTTCACGCCGTTGAAGTGACATTGTCGGCGCTGGCCTAGAGATGGGCCCACCTTGCTGCTTTGGTGGGGGAATATTATAGCCACTCACCGACGATGCTGTATTCAGTGACATAGGGTTCATGCCTTGTTGATGGATGTGGAGGCAGGCGTTGGACATGTTCAGGGATTCAGGTGGAGTGGCTTCGGCGAAGAACCTGCGTACCGTGCTTGTTTCCACCTGACCTCCGGGCACGTGGGAAAGCGAGTTCAGGGATTCAGGCAAAGTAGCGTTTGCGAAACGAATGTGTAACTCGCGACTACCTGGTCCTTGTGCCCCATTTGACGCTGGAGCCACTGTGTGGTCTTCTGACGTTGTGCCCCTGCTCATTTGTACAACTAGGTCCGTATCACCTTCGTCTCACTGTCTTACGGTCTGTCTTTGTTCGGGATGCTCTCTACGAAGAGCTTTTCGCGTTTGGGGGCCTCGCGAGGGGGGGGGGAAAAAAAACAAAAAAACAACAACATGGTCATGTTTATTGTAATGTCTCGTCAAACAATCATTGCTCGCGTCTATCGTCGTGTCTGGCAATGCGTTTGTCGTCACGTCTTGCAGCAGTAGCTGATTTGCCACGAAATCTACACAGCTGCCTGCCACGAAATCTCACGCCAAGCTCCCAAAGTATTGCACCTGCCACAAAATGGGTTGGTGGGAGGTGGTGCGCAGGTGCGGGTGGGCAGGCAGGTTCAGTTTTATTTGTGTCGTCTTATTAGGACTCACTGCTTGACAGGAAACAATCTAGAGATTTTCTGAAGACAGCTTATGACGGTAAAGCCTAGCGCCACGTGAACTCCACATATGAAATCAAGTTCAGATTTTGTATTTTTGGAGGTCCTGCCACTATGAAAGACTTACGATGGAACGGTCTAAAGGGAAAGGACAACTGTTCGTGGGTGCCTGTCTCGCAACCTCACGTCGCGAAAAGTGCGTGTGTCCGTCCCGCTAGGCCCAGCGCAGCGCCCGCTCCGAGCCCTGAAAAACAGGCGTCGTGCCAGAGGTGTTTTGCGCTTTCCCGGAGCACGTGACACACGCGAAGGGCGCTCACGCTCAACGCAATCTGAACACTTGCCACCTCTTTTCTTTTTTCTCTTCTTCCGCTCTCATCTACTTTCAAGCAACAGCTAGCCTTCACCTAGCTCCGGTGCTATGGAAGTTTCTTCCAAGCTTCCTTGGACAAATGCTGTTGGTCCACAAATATGCACGTTCAAAGTTTTGACCAGCTTGGCTCAAGTGACACATGTCCATCTAAGAAGTAACGAATTACGCGATAAGCCGGATCCATTTCATCAAACCTCAACTTTGCAGATGGGTGCATCAGCGTTGGGAAATCACCAGCCATCTTCAAAAGCAGCGCATCAAACTAACGCTCGTTCGCACCTACTGCAGAGCCACGACTGACTGCGCGACACAGCTGGAATTCACCTTGCAGTCGAGGCACACGTTCAAATCTTGCGGCGGTCCTGCTGGTAGTTGGGGTGAGTGGTGACGGTACGCTTGTAGGCGGCGGTTGTAGTGTAGTTGCAGCCAACTTTGATGCAAGGACCATGGCACAGCAGGCGTGATGTTTTTGTCAGTTGATGTGGTGGTTGCAAAACTGATGATTGCACTACTTCTGTGTGTTCTGCCGTGTTCCTGTTCTGCTTTGTTTGGTTTTGATTTTTTTCCGGGTTTCCCGTTGATTCTCATTGTTGGGGCCGTCATATTGATTGGGTGGCCATCATCGTGTCTTGGAGCTTTGCACTGCAGCTTCTGTCGCCCCCCGTGGCTGCAGGTGTCTGGTAGCTGTTTGGCTGAAATCATGGAGTGGTTGACGAGCAGCTCAGAGTTGACCTTTGTTTGAAGGGTACGGTTAAACAACATGCGCTGCGGCAAAAGTTATAAGCAATAATTTGCCGGGTTGGATCCTGCGCCGACAAGTTTGCCAGCGTTCGGCTAATCGTAATCGTTTCTGCAGGATGTGGCTGTTCAATGCAATTACAATGGGATTTTCCGCGAGTTGCAATACTGACACACCAATTTAGCGTATTTTACGTTTTTGTCCGTCCCTGCTTGGAGCGCGCCATGTCTCGCAAAAAGGACGACAGGAAGCAGGACGCATTTGCAAACCTCAAACCCCAAACCAAACCCTGAGCATTGCAGGTAGCAGCTCTGATCAGTGGCATGATTCGTTTTGCAGGAGAAGCAGAAGACATGGCTGGAAGAATATTACGAAAATCCAGGGTATGGCGACGCGGCTCGCACATCAGGTTGTGTCTTTTGTGCTACACTTTGCTATAAATGTCAAACGTTGCGTGCTTCTATTGAGCAATGCCAAACGCAGGTCCACCTGGTGGCACGGTCGCCAATCTGACCGATCAAGAGATGATCGATCACGTGGAAATGCTGGTGGAGCATTTGACAGATGACGACCCGAAGAAGAGGATCAAGGCAGCCGAAGCAATGTCAGCATACATTGCCGATGATGCCTACTTGCCAGAAACAATGGAGGTGCACCCAGCGCAAGTTCTTGCAACTCTGTTTTTCAAAAGTATCCCAGATCGTATGGCGTGCATTAGTGCTGCCAGATGCTTGGCAATCATGGGCAGAAGAGCAGCCCCTTATGCTTCAGCTGCCTTGACGAAAGTCTTGCAGAACTCTGGCAGCGACTTGCGATATGAGGCTTTGGTCGCTTTGGGGTACCTGGGTCCTGAAGCATCACCAGAGGCGGCCGCTGCAGTGGCAAATCGGGTGATACATGATGAAGATGCCCGACTTCGACGTCAGGCGCTTCAAACACTCGCGGTTTTCGGCCCAGACGCTGCGCAAGCCTCTGCTGCCGCGATCGCAAAAGCTTGCCACGATGAAGACACTGATGTTCAAGTGGCAGCAATGCACTGCATGAAGGCTATGGGCCCTGACATGGATGGCCAAATTGCAGGCCCAGCCTTGCAAAAGGTCTTGGCTTCAGGTTCGCAGGAGATGCGGCGTTTTGCCATGGAGACCATTGCGGTGATTGGACCAGGTGTTGCTTCCCACGTGAGCAAGCCAGTTGCCGAGCACTTGCGGCCACTTCCGGGGAGCGACCCTGTCTTGCGTCAGCTTGCAGTTGATGCGCTAGAAGCATTGGGGCCTGAAGTTGTTTATGAGCAGGAGCTCCTGCTTTCTAGAGCAGTGAAAGACCCAGAAACCGAGGTGAAGGAGCGTGCATTTTTGACACTACGTGATGCAGGTTGTATCAAAGGCATGATGGGTTCAATGGCGCTGGAGGAGCGTATATTTTCTCCGGAAGTTTTGGCAGCATCCAAACTTGTTACTGAGAACAGTGACTCGGAGGATTCAGACTCTGACTCGGACTCGGATTCGGATGTGGAATTGGGGGAGTCTGATGACGGCTTCGAGGAGGAGGAAGAGGAAGAGGAAGAAGCGCCAAAAAGGAAGAGAAGAGGAGCAGGATCAGACAGCGAGGAAAGTGAGGACTGACTGGTGAACTCCTTCTGCTTGCTTGACAATTGTTATCGTGTTGCTTTTCCACACATGTGCATGTCGCAGGAAGATGAAGAAAAAAAGGAAGAGGAACGTCTCAGACGGAGCATTATGGCGAATTGGAGCTGAAATGAGCAAAGACAAATGGACGAGGACAACAGTTGCATTTGCTGACGCCTGATTCAACAGTTCTTGCGGGCTTATGCATCAAAACAGGTTTTGTGTTATGATTGAGTTGGCATGCAGGTAGCGCATTTGTTTTTGAGGAGACGTCAACAGAAGCCAAACAGCTACAACGACTTCCAGGAGGCTGGACTGCGAAGATAATGACGCCAACGAGCATGGAGCAGTTGCCCCGTGCCTCGCAGAGCGAGGCTGGCATAGAACCGGCATGGAACATGCCATTTGTCCGCAGAATGATATTCTCGTGGCAGTGAGACTTCTGTGGCCAAGTTGGCCAATGCTGGCTGCATGGATGGATACACATTACTTGCAGCTTGTTTCACTTGGTATGACATCCATGCTTGAATGAGATGATGTCGAGCGCAAAACACGTGCATGCTTGTGATGTGGGACATTCTATGGAGAGAGAGAGAGAGAGAGAGAGAGAGCGTTTTGCAACGGCGTCAAGCGTTTGGCCGATTGGCACTCAGCTGTCAAGATCAAGTGTCGGCGTTTCATTGTCACTGTGCAGAGATCAAACACCATTCTCTTCTTGGAAGGAGCTGCAGCTCTATTCTGCTACATGAACAGCACTGAGCAAACATTGACTTGCACTTTGTACATCAACATGTCACTGCACTGAAGGAGTGCATGTGCAACAGATGCACGCCTTTGCGTTGGCCATTCTCTGGCTGAAGTCGCAGATTGCATTTGCAACTGGCCAGACGTAGTCTTTGCAGCAGCAGAAGGTTTCTCCAACTGATGCTGTGCATGCAAACATTGAGATTTGAGGCAGCGCAGAACTGCTCCAGCCTCCAGTGCCCGGAGGGTCATGTGGCGAAGGTCCTTGCAGCAGCGGCATTATGCCAGCTACTGACAGACTTGAGGGACAGTTCCAGTCAAATGATGTGCGCTGAAGGAAGTGCCTGAGGTCAAGCTGACTGCGATGTTGCAGTTGATCTCTATACATGCTGCAACCAGCTGTGCAGCAGCTTTACCTGCACGGGTTCATCTTCCCTTAGGCCAGAATCATCTGCCATAGATGCTTGGCAGCAATAGTACCAACATTGTCCAAGAGATATTTGGTTCTGAGTTCCGGATGTTAAGCAATGCGGGGATCCTCCGGCATTAGGTTTTTGGTTGGCTTGTATCGCCAAATGTGGCCAGTGGATCTCTGGAGATGCTCTGTGCCGCGAGGCATGCGACGGACCCTGCCTTCCAGAGGATCGTGCAAAGTGCTGTGACTTCCCGCCAGTTCAGGATGATGGATTCTTGGATTGCAGTCACGCCCGAAAGGGCGCTCCATTCCATGTTCTTTCCCAATCGATGAAGTGGGTTTCGATGCCATGACTGATGAGGCACGCAGCTTCTGCGAGCAGTCATAGCAGGTGAGGCTGGAATGTCATCCAATCATTTGCTAAGGTTTGGCGTTCCAAGCTCTGACCTGGCTCAGGTGAGCGAGGTGGATCGCTTGGTGGCCATGTCCGTCACAGCCAAAGCGACAGCCGTGCCCAGCTCAAGTGAAGCAGGCCATCAGTCTGACGTATTTTCCGCTTTGAGTCTCTGAGTCTGAGTGTTGCATCGGGCAAGGCGCTCCACATCGCAGCCTTGCACGGGCATAGTGAGACTCTGAGGCAGTTTGTCAGCATTCGTACAATATCATTGGTAGTCTACCGGTGGTTTAGGGAAGACATTGGGGGACAACCCAGAATTGTCACATAATCACGGGGGGTCCCGATTATCCCAGACCCCCTTCAAAAAGCATGTTCTGTAGTCCGTTGCTCATGTGATGAGATGTCACAGTTGGCACCTTATCGTTGGCAGGCGTCTGATTGAGGGCCGTGCTGATGTGAACCAGTTGGATGACCGGGGCTGGGCCCCGCTGCACGTGGCTGCTGGAGCAGGTGCCGGCACAGACATGCATAGACATTTCTCAAAAATATGGGCCTCTTCATGTGGGTGATGATTTCCCTTTGGTTTCTATTCCAAAGAAAGCCAAAAGTACCATCAAGCTACACCAGGACGACAGATAACAACAGCACCCTGACAAGCACCCTGACTGCGTCGCCAAACAAGCACTGCCACCATTACATCACCTGCATGCCAAAGAGCACCGCCTGACCAGCGCCACAACAGCACCCTGCCTGCATCGCCAAACAAGAACCAGCAACTGCCCCTCCCCTTTGACCAGCACCCTGCATCGCAAAACAAGCAACGGCAGCACCCACCACAGCACCTTAAGCACGCACACAGCATCCTGACTGCAGTACCCAAAACAATACCCTGACCAGCACCCGCAACAGCACCCTGACTGCAGCACAAACAAAGCACTGCCAGCAACCACCGCAGCATCTTGAGCGCACCCCCAAACAGCACCCTACCCGAACTCCAAAATACTCTTTAGCCGTACAGCGCCAAGCAAGCACCGCCAGTCACCACAGAACCTGAAGCGCACAAACAGCTTGAGCAGAACCTTGACCTACCAGCACCAGCGACCGGCACTCGCAGCCTTCGCTGAACATCTCTAGAAGTACAAACAGCCAGAGCTAAAGCTATCTGGAAAAGACACACATTTTTGGTTTGGTGGCATTGGAAGGAAGGGGTTTACTCTGCCTTCAGGTCGAATTGAAGTGATGAACTCTCTGATAGCCGCGCGGGTCTGTCCAGCGTGTTTAGGGCTTTGGATCTGCGTGATCCAATAAGTGTGCTGCCAGGCAATACCAGATCTCCAGTCTCCAGATGGTCAGGATCTGAGACTCTGTGTATACCAACTGCACATTTGCTGTATCAACAGTGGCTGGTGATTGGTTTAGTTGCCTGAACCAGGGCATATTTGATGATTCTGGATACGGCATTGCACAGTTGTTGGACCCAACAGAATCGGGGCTGCGAAGATTCCGAGGTACTCCATACGACATAGCGCTGAGAGCAGTGTTGACAGCTTAGCCAGTGAACTTCAAGCGTGCTCGACGTAAATATGCTCTATGGAGGCCACGTGGTCCTGACCCACCTCTCATTTCTGTCCTTTTGTCTCAGCACGCACGTGCTTGGGGCTCAGACTTTTAATGCAATGGCAAGTGAGCTGTATTCCAACACAAGCAGAGTTGAGTTGTCAGGAGAGACACTTTTTTGTCCCTTCCAAGGGTTGGCAGGTTTTTGGACCGAGGCCTGGCAGGACGAGCTGAACTTCTGAGCACACATGGTACCATTTTTTGATTTGTTTGGTGGTTTTAGAGTTTGCGGGATGCGATTCCTAAAAAGGACAGACCCACATGTAGGGCGCAGAGCTGCAAATGCAGAGGCGGTTCCAGTTCGCTGCAAGCGATGGAAATAGGCGGACATTCTCAGTTGAAGTTGAGCTGTTTGCAGAGCGTTGAGTGTCATTGTGTCGCAAAGCTGTACGAGCTTGCCCCTCTTCCTGGAGCACAGTGCTGACATCACAGTACTGTTCGTGCACACACACAGACACAGGGAGGCACATTGGCCCCCGACACACACACACACACATACGCACACACATGACTATCCCTCTCTCTCTCTCTCTGTCATATGTATATATATATATATACAATACATACCAGTAGAGCCGGCGAAGCCGGTGGGCGGAAGTTTCAAAAATATAAAACTAGAGTTCTCTTTCTCTTTCTTTTCTTGACTCTTTTTCTCCGTCATTCTTCCTTTCTTCCTTTCTTTCCTTCCTTCCTCCCTTCTTTCCTTCTTTCTATCTGTCTTTTCTT